GGAAATGTGAGAGGTGAGATTTTCAGAAAAATCATGCTTTGCGTTTTCCAGAAACGTCTAACCTACCATCGACCGTGAGTCAAGCTGTATATGATATCGGGTTCTCCCCATATGGTAGGTCATTAATGAAAATTATGAACAGTAGAGGTCTCAAAATAGATCCTTGCGGTACACCAGTTGTATTTTTTTTCTTGTTGATAGAGAATTGTCCACAATATGAAGACATTCTGTAGTATACCTATTTAGCATCAGCACCCGTGCGGAGCCGGGGCGGACAGCTAGTATTTTAACATTTAATCCCTAACGCAATCTACTACGGTGGATGCATTGACACCGCAGAGGTGAAGCCCGCGCGTGTCAAATCTCTCGAATAAACTTCAATTCAATATCATTTTCTTACATTTCTCGAAAGTCCGGATTATGGTCTCTGCAGGAGGATCGCCGAGTAAAAGTAATAACGAGTCCGCTATCGAATTGACTGAATAAGGGGGTAAATATGCCCTAGAGATGTGTCTGGTTGTCATATGTCGACTTCCCAAGCAAAGAAGTGACATGCCATGGGGCAATCGACTGTTCGAGAAAATGACGGGGAATGCGCGAACATCGGCCTTGGGGGTAAGGTAGATTGCAGGAATTTTCATTTCCCATGTCAATATCACGAAATGCGAGTATTTCTAGCGAAGAGAAAGTTAATAAGGCCTCTATAAACTAGATCGAAAAATTCAGGGTTCCCCAGGTTGTTTCTATCTAATACTATGAACTAGTTTTTATATTCATTTATCAATTAATCAACGGAAATGCCTATTTTTACATGAAAGTATCTAACTAAGAAAGTTTATTCATTATTGGTACTAATTGGTGGCTGTTAGTTATTGGCTCAGAATTAACAGTCAATATTTGCCTGAAATATTCCATTCGTGGACTGTTTAACATACAGTGTGACCCATTTTTAATGGAAACAACCCCCTAAAATTTGAAGTTGTAAATCGATTTTAATAATTTTTTTTTAAATGTCAAGTACTAAAAGGTCTACCTTGGGACAAAATTTGAAATGTTTTTTGAAGTGAGTTGCGTGTAACANAAAATAAGGTTACTTGGACAATTTTATGAATAAAAGTACTCGTGTGGAAAGTCGATCGGAGCAACGAGTCTTGATAAAAATGTAGTTCTACTCGACGACATCAAACCCGCTCGTCCACCATTATTTGAAATGAATAATTATCAAAGCAGAAATAATAATGATAACGTTAATTCAACAACATTTATAACAGGAATAATACAATATATGCTAAAATGAAGTCGTAAACAAAAAGTACAGTACCTATATGGAAGTTTATAGGCTCTCCTCAAACTGAACTCTGTCAGACTGTCTGCCTCTTTATACGGTCAGAGCGTCTTAACTCAGGTATTTCAGGTACTTTAGGTAAATTTACCTGGATTTGTACTGCATCAGGTAGTCTTCTTTGTGTTAGATCTTCTCTAGGAATGTGTATGGTTTTGTTTAAAATACTGAATGTGAGGTCTTGTTGTGTTTTGATTTGTACTTGTTCCTCGATAGGCAGTTTGCCACATTTTTTTTTGGGCTTTCTCTTCCGAAGCTTAAGATCAAATCACTTATTCTAAGACAACTTCAAATTTAATACTATAATCATATAATGTGCTGTATAAGAGGTAATAATTTCATGGAATATGACTCCAGGGTCAGTAATCTTGGCCAAAGACACAGCTGAGTGTAATAAACCTCAACTACATAATAATTAGTGCATAACCTACACAGATCGAGTGAGAAACTCAAAAATAATTCAAACTCGAACCCTGACCTCTATCATCATGTAAGAAAGTAAAGAACATTGTGAGAACTGAAAAAAATGCTGGGTTGTGAATGTTTGAGGTGCATATCTATATAAGCAGGAAATGATTGCTATCAGTAGAGATATGCTACGTCACCTACTGTAATTGATAATTTCCGTCTTACCGCTATTTCTGTTTTCTTTCTCCCGTTTGATAAATGACGTTTCGCATTAGCATATTTTTTGCAATGGTATGAGTTGTCCCTTTGTGAGTCCTTTCGCCGAACCGGAAGAAATAAGTTAAGTCGGACAACGGTACATTGAAGCCTAGTTAACTGTTGGTTAATTGCCTTTTAATATTATATCCATTAACGCACTTGAATCTAGACACGATTTTCCGGTATATGCAAATAATGTTAATAAACAAGACACTCTGAAGATTACAGTTATCAATAATAACAATTTTAGTTCAAGTTCCAACAGAAGATCCACGTTAATTCGAATTCAGTTGATTGAAGGACAAACTTTTTCAAACATGAGAAAATCAGCTTTTTCTGAATTATTCAGGTTTAGCAAGAGCAGGGTCCAAATACTTTGCACCAGTAATGTTAAAATTTTTTTCTACACCCGTACTCTAACAATACACTTATATGACCATAATCCGTTTCATAATGATATCCATTATGATACAGATTTTTCATAACGATACATATTATCAACCAATAGAAACCCAAAATTTTTCAATCAAGAATCCTGTTCACCCTGTGTGTGTACTTGGACGTTCCTTTAACAACAAATAAATGTTTTGGATTACTTACTGCAATCGTAATGATGCACAGACTCTACTTTGTCTAACTATACTCAAAAAACTTTTAAATTTTATTGAATTGTAAGACTTTAAAGCCAAAATTATCGGAGCTGGTAAAAGGTAAGTGATACTTATTTCTGCCAGAACCGGACCTAGTACGGTTTGTGTGTGTATTTATAGACCTCCATCAGGTAATCTAAAATATTTTTCAAAATTTTTCATGGGAATTCTTGCTCTGGTGAGTCAAAACTATAATACCATCATCATAGGTGGTGACTTCTACATAAACTTTTCTGTTGCCATGTTGCTGTTTCATTCTAAACAAAAATGTATCTTGGGTTTTTTGCCCGAAATAAACCAGCTCGCAGCAAAAAATGATTTTACGAACATCTACAGAGATACATCGTCATAAATGCGAAGTGGATTTATTTTTATTTTGTAGTTAGTACCTGCATCAAACGATTAAAGGGTAATAAACAAAACTAATTTATTAATAACAAAACACACAAAATGTAGAAATCATAGTGAATGTTCAATATGTCTACCTTCAGACATTACGCATGCGTCTAGACGTCGGCGCATTGAGCTACGTATTCGCTCAAATATTCCTGGAGTATCTCTGATTACCCTGCACCCATCGATGATAAGGTTTCTTAAGTCCTCTACATCGCGAACAGGAATACGATAAAGCAAATGCTGTAAATGGCCCGAAATAGAGAAATCGAGAGGATTCAGATCAGGGGATCGAGCGGGCCAGTTCTGTGGTCGTTATTTTTAACACCTCGACACGTGTTTCGATCACCAAGTGATCATCTTCAAGAGGAAGATAAAACTTCCTCTTGAAGGTGAAGGTGTCGAGATGTTAAAAAAACTCCAATAATATTCATGTCTTTTTGGTAGTACAAAACGTCAGGTTAATTTCAATATTGTAACTTTTTTAGTGCTTGTGAAAAAAATTGTTATACAAATTTTATGTGCCCCCTCAAGGGGCTGTAACTTGAGAAGGGATGCTCCAATGAAATTTTTTATATGAAAGATCCTATCTTTTTTCGATGAGGAATCACCTCCTCTAATGTTTTACATTTATTTAGTTATACCCTGTATACTGTTGATGAACCAACAAGGGTAATTGCTAACTCAAGTACTTGCCTAGATAATTTTATAATATAGTAAAAATATTGACTACGAAGTGGTAATCAAGAACTACAGTATGTCTGATCACATTGCCCAAATTATTTGAATTCCGACTATAAGAAGTGAGAAACAGGTAAAAATACGTTTTAAGCTACGGTAGAGTGTTTTCGAAAAATAATATAAATAACTTAAAACTCTCCTTGGAAAATGAGTCATGGGAGGATATCTACAACGAAATCTGCCCAAAGAAAACATATGAAATTTTCCATAATATAGTATAGAGTGGCTGAAGTCACTCCACAAACAAATGAAAAAATTCGACCCCAGCGTACTTACACCAGAACTTAAAGAATTGAAATATACTATACTCAGACTTCGCAAAAGTTAATGAGCGTTATGTAGACATTCGTATCTAGGCAAATAACGCAGACCTAAGCAATTACACAGCAAGAGTTCTGGCCCAAAATCGCGTGTTATTTCTTATGAAGGTTCATTTGAGAGATTTTTGTCCATTTCAAGGTCACGCGGTAGTAGATGAACTATGCCGAAAAGCAATGAAGTACATCGTTTTCCGTGCGTTTTCGATCGTTTTTCGTGCGTAACAGTCACATACTTGACCAACTGCGCCACGAAAGCGCTACATGAAAAGCGTTACGCGAAAAAACGTTACGCGAAAGCGTTAAACGAAAAACGTTAAAATAATGCTAGTATTTTTCGATCGTTATTGTTTTAAGCTTATTTAAATTATTTTCAACTTTTCAATTCGATGTTCTTTAAAAGCGTGTTTTTTAGTTTTTTTAAACTATATTTATTCCATCAAGAAACAGTGAAGAATTAAAACACGAAATTGTTTTTGATCCAATGTTTTGAAAATAACAAAAGTTGCGCCACTCTTAGCACAATAACTCACAAACTTATGAGTGTAATATCAAGAAATTCCAACAGATTTATTTTGAAGGTTAGTACCAACTGAAAAAGCGGTGAATGCAATAAGATTCAACGCCATCTATGTGTCAGGTTCGATACTTTTCAGCCCATATAGTATCATCTCATTTATTGACTGAACTTGACTACTTTTCTCAATCTTCATAAGACAAGTACTTCTCCAATATTTATATAACCATCAACATATTTACGGTGTATATTATAGGTTAGCTTCTCTTTCATTCTCCCGTACCTGCATATATACTTTTAGGATCATTTTATGGACACAAACATTTTTCGTGAACACAAAATTAATATTTTCTCATTATTTTGTTTCATTTCAGGAAACCCAGGCCTTGGAAGACCCACCTGAATAATTGAGGCGTGGCTATATTTACGGACCTATTCAAACCGACAGGTATATATTTTGATCCTTTTCGCTTTGTAATTTTGTGGAGTTTGTTTGTTGAATTCGTTATACCGCCATTACCCCATTTACTGCGCTATAAAACATTAGACGTGTGAAATTGAGTTTGAATAATTATTCTAGAAACCAATTTCACAAGATGAATCTTCTATTTGCAACAAATTCACGCATTTAATGCATATTGAAATTTTCCCGCTATTGTTTCAACACCTTTTCTATTAATTTTAGATTTTGAAGAAGGGAATTTTTTAATGAATATTTTAGCAAATCATTCACCGTAGCTTATCGCATATATGCATTCCTCATTAGGATTACTCAAGATTTGAAAAGAAGTTCCACACTCAAATTATTTTTTATATACTCGTTCGGTCTGAGCTGAAATATGCTTTTATAATGTGGAGACCATACTATCAGTCAATTGGAAGCTTTTTACAGGTTCGTTCTGGAATATCTGTCGTTTAAACTTGTCGGTACTACATATCCTTCTTAAACGCGTACCCCACAATGAGTTACTTGAAAAATATAATGTTTGCAGTCTCGAAATATGGTGTGAAAACTTCCCCTCCTTTTTTATCGTTCATAATATTACCTAATCCCAACTTATATAGTTCAAGTAAACGATATAGTGCAACCTACCATCCAGCAGCTCCCCTTTAATAAAATAGTTGGGGAGTTAACTAATTTCGTTATTCAATAATCATTTCTGATTATATAAGAATCACAATAACTATATAATTGTATATAATAAAAATAAAAGAAAGAACTTCGAAACCACTAAGTGATTTCTGTTTGTGAGGTTACAGTCAGTTTTGAGGATGCAAGGGAGTAAGACAAACACTTTGGTATCACGTCAAGGTTTCGGAAATGTTCATTTCGTTCTTCAGGACTTATATCATGAGTTTGAAAGAAGCTAATTCTTTTATAACAATTAACAATCAAAACTTATCGGTCATCTTATGCAGTTCTGCACGATATAAGCACAAGTAAATTAGACAACTCAAGAATAGCTAAAAATAATTTGAAATTAATCAATAACTTATATACTAAAACTAAAACACCCTTTTCCAAACTTGAACAATCTTATGTCATTTATAAGATTCCTTGCTTTGAATGTGATAAAGGTTACAATGGGCAGACTAGTAGAAGTTTGTCTGGGCGTATCACGTCTCATAAGAGTGACTGCAATCTAAAGAAAAATGTTGTGCTCTAGCAGAACATAACATCAACACTCATCATAATATCAATTTTGGCAATCCTTCAATTTTGGCAGTTGAAAGCAATTATAATAAAAGGAGTTTTCTAAAGATGGTTTACATCAATAAACATCCAAATAGTATCAATAAGAGGTCTGATATTTCAAACCTCAGTATTATTTATAATTACATATTAAATTTTGAACATCCAAATAAACCTTTTCCAAATTGAATTTACTATCTCTTTTATGACTTACAGCTCATATTAAAATAGTTAAACCTTGAGAACCTAACACATGCTCTAGTGCTGATACAGAACATTTCGATTACGGACAGATGACAAGTTACTGTCTATTATTTTTTGGTTCTCTCTTTGGTGTTCTGATTTTCTTGCTGTTTTCAAATTTTCAAATCTGTGTTCATGCTGGGCCATGTTTTTGGTTCACTCCACAAATGGTTGTAACAATGTAAAATATTTTCCAAATCAGTTCAATACTATTTACATATGACCTTTGCCGTGCACTCGATATCATTGTAGTGAATTTTACCTAATGTTTACCAATAATATTTTCAGGTGAGAGATATTTTTCTGTTTATGATGAGCAAGGAGTACTCTCCGCTGTTGTTTTTATTTACTTAACCTCACATTAGTAAGTTACTCTTGAACATGTATTTTAACATTATTTATAACATCAATAATTGTTTTCAGATGTCTTGAGAAAGAAAATAAAGATTTTCAAAAGCTCGACAATTTAATAAAGAGTTTTACTAAATCAGGTCAAACTTAATTTTTGACTGCAACCACAAGGTTGATTTTCTTTATTGAGGATTTTCCTAATTTAGACTGTTTTTTCAAAGAGTCCAATCTCCATATAGTCTTTTTCAACTAAAATTACTTTTTTACTCCTGTTCTGTCCGTCTTCTTCGATAATATTAGATACTTATTCTTTAATTAGCTCTATTACCTTCTTATCAAATTTTGGTAAACTATTTTTACGCCTGATGCTTTGTTTCAATTTCCCCCAAATCAACTCGATGGGATTGAAAATACAAAAACAGGGAGGAAGTCTCAGTATGGTGTGTCCATACTTTTCAGCAATAACCTCAACGGCATACACTTTTTCAAATGTTTTTGTTTGTAAAATTTCAAGTAGTTGGTATAGTTTGGTATAGTAATTTTCAAAATACAAATTGTTATCCATTAAAAAATTTTGTATTTCATGTTTCCTCGAATTTTTATTCGGTACTTTGCTGAGCTTTCTAAATGATAGAAAAAGTTGTCAAAAACTATTACACTATTCGCATCCAAATTTGGGATCAATGTGTTTTCAAACTATTCCTCGAAAATATTAGAGACCATGTCCTTATGATAATCAATATTGGAGTCTTCTAGTTGACCGAAAAACCGTTGACAGATCCAAGAAACCGTAGACCTTGAACTTAAAAAATGCTTACGGTTTATTTAATTAAGGGCTACCGATGAACCACTCAGAAACATTTTGAGCAGCACTTAATAACCAGAGTCAAATTCTGGTTCTTTACGAATCTTGACAGGTTTCAGAGATCAAGTAATGCTCTGTTCATCTAATTTATCATGAACTTGCCGAAAGAACAGAACAAGTATACCACAATAGAAAAAATTATAATTCTCATTCAACCCCATCTCGGATCAATTTAATCACCGGCCACCATCTGTCCGTAACCCGGTGATGATTTGACAATGACCACCGAAAACAATTTACGCTTTGGCCTTTCTCTCACACCCGCGTTCTCCAGTCTAAAATCGAATATCGGACGACCCCTAAACCGACGGCAACCATTACCTACACAAAGTTTATCGCGTTTCCAATCGATATCCAGTCATCGTCATCGGCGTAAATCAAACCCTCACTTATCATCGAGCCACGTTCCCAGACCCGGTACTGGAACTTGCACACATCCACTACAGTGTTGCCAACACCAGCGGCAGTATACATACTTGAAAAAAATGTAGAAAATTGTGAATATTATTATCCGTATTTACCAAGGAAACTATTACAGCTTTCGGCCAGCATAGGGCCTAGAACTGTTCTTTGGGTTATACCTGTTGTTATTTCAAGTCGTGTGCGCTGCAAATGTGATCAATTTTTACCCTCTGATATCTGTGTTAATGTTTTGCTACGCAGCCCGAGTCCATAGAAGATCTTCGCCAACGAATTACAGCAGAGTGCAGAAGTATGACACCTGATATGCTACAGAATGTTAGGAAGGATTCCGAAAAATCTGCAGCTCTACACTTAAAACTGCAGAGCTGGCTACACTGCACGCACATGCTGCGTTCTCCGATCTCGCTCTTTTCCTTCCCAGCAGGGATAGATTTCGTTAAGCGGTGATGCCAAATCGACATTTTGAAACTAGGAAGAGTACAAGTTTGAATGAAAATATGAATTTCTTCTTCCAGTCAATAGTATCGACTAATAAGGTAATTAGCCCCGTGTTTTAGACTGTCTGATAGCTTCCCATTCCACCTTAATAGCATCATGCCTCTGCGCAGTTCTGTCCCTCAAATAGATGAATTCTCGCCAGGAAATTTCGGCACATGATCTTCGGATTTAGATGTTCCTGATGAAGATTGTCTTATTATAATCATCTATGATATACCAAGACTACTGAGTGTGAATCAATTGATATTCAAGACGAATACTACCACATTTTTTATCTCTAAGACATTTTCTTTTGTATGTGGAATAACTGAAAAGCTGTTTTAAGTTTTTAGTTAGGTTAGCACACTATTATGCAATTCAAATGTAAAAAGTCTTTCATACAGGGTGTTTCAAATAGTCCCTCACCATTGGGATCTTGGAAACTATCAGAGATACGAAAATGGGTAATTGGAGCAAGGTTGCGCATTTACCTGACTAACAATATGCCGTTGAGAAAGTTCTGAAACACCCAGTATATCCGGAGACAGCGGGGAAATGGTTTTTATGAACCATACTCGGTAAGATTTTGATCCAATAACTTGAACATAGTTAGTTGAAAATTAGGAAGATATCTAGAGAATAATATGTGTGATTGATGACTTGTTGATTTTGTGGTAAATCATAATTAGACAAAGGTGTTTATATTCATTTCATCCCGTTACTCTCTCTCTCTCTCTTTCTAAATCTCTTCACTAAATCATACTTCCCTCACGCTTTTCGTAACGCTCACGTCACGCATTCACCAGCCAGGTCAAGCGCGCGTAAAGAAGTTTCACTTCGAAATCAAGTGTATTGAGACCACTGAAAAATGGCATTGAGTGAATTTTGGGACCAAATGAGGTAGGGTATTACTGGAGTTTTTTCCAACACCAAATCGTTATTTTTACACCTCGACACGTGTTTCGATCACCAAATGATAGGCATTGATACACCATATTTATAAAATAAAGGTTCACGTGCAGATCTTGTAATGGAAGTGACTCCAAAAAAGTTACAGGCATATTTTAGGGACACGAAAACTGTTTGAAGGTGATTGACAATGTTTCATGATGAATTTCACTAGTTCGGACTTCCATTGTCTACTATATAAAATCAATTTAGGAGGATNTCAATGGCCAGAGTTTCAAATCACTCCATATATATGTTGGCTATGACTGGTGAAAGTGTTTTAGGGATTTCAAATCATTTTATATAGTACACAAAGTCCGAACTAGTGAAATTCATCATGAAACATTATCAATCACCTTCAAATCTAACATACGAGTTTCGATGTATAATTTATCAGAGGGATCTACCATTCCAACAGAAAGCCTTTGCATAATTTCAATTTGATGAA